GGGGGGGGGGGGGGGAAGCAAAGGGGGCGGCGATAGCGACGGTGGCCAGGAAGGCACAGTCCCCCGGCGAGCCCTGCGTCGGCGCCGCTCGGCGGCCATATCCCTAGGCCAGTCCCCGAAGGGGCGGGGCTGAGGCCGCGGGGGAGCTATGGTTGTACCTGTGTCGGCCGGTTTGGGTCGCGTTCGGCGGCTCAGGAGGATCCTGATAACTCCCCAATCCCTGATCTGCCCTTCCTCCTATCTTCCCTGTGTGTGTGTAGGGCCGCAGGCCTAGGCGCGGGCCACCCAAAGACAAAAGCTTGGCTGTGCCTGCCCTCCAGAAGCTGCCATTCCACGGGGGGCGGGGAGGGGGCGGTGCAGTGAGGAGCGAGAGAGCCCCGAAAGCTTATGTACCCGCCCCCCAGTGGGGGGGCGTGAAGGAGCGGCGGTCTGGGTAGGCCTACCAGGGGAGGGATGGTCGAGCTGAGCCGGGAAGGAAGAGAAGGACTCTGGGACTCCGGGACTCCGGGTCAGGGCAGCCTCGTGGCGAGGCCGAGGCGCAGGCCGGGAGGGGCCCCTCCCAGGCGGGCACCGAAGGACAATGGAATCCGATAGGCCGGGAAAGGTGGTGGTGTTGGGGAAGCCCGAGGCCTAGGACCCCAGACTCCAGGCTGAAGCATTTGAGGTTTCTGTGCTAAAAGCAATGGCCTGCGGAGAGACCCGACCATGGGCCGGGGGTGGGGGCGGGGATGAAGCCAGAACTATGGGGCAGAGAGTTCCGATGTGAGAGATAGCAAGAGGTAGTGCAACGTTTACCCCCAGAACAATTCTGGAAGGTAGGTGCAGTTAGGCGTCCCCCATTTTACAAGTGGGGAAACAGGATAAGTAATCATAATAATAACGACCAACGTATAGTGCTTGCTGTGTGCACTTTACAACTGCTATCTCATTTGAGCCTCACAACAACTCTGGAAAATTGGTGCTCTTATTATCTCCATTTTACAGAAGAGGAAACGGGTTAAATGACTTGCCTAGGGTCACACAGTTAACAAGTGTTTGAGGCAGGATTTGAACTCCTCCTTGGCCTCAGGCCCAGTGCTGTATCTGCAGAACCACCTAGCAGAAGTTGGGAGTAGAGTCAAGGAGACATGGCAACTAATTGCATACAAGAGGAGAGGAAGAGGGAGAGAAGAGAAAAGAGAAGGAGAGAGATGAGTTAAGAATGACCTCAAAGTTATGAACCTGGGTCACAAGGAGAATGGTGGTCCTCATACATTTGATAAATTATATTGGTCATGACTGACCACCATAAAAAACAAAGGACAAAACGAGTTGTTAATAAACTGCTTCACAGTTTGTTAAATCTTTTTTTTTAATTTATTTTTTTTATTTTTAGTTTTCAACATTTACTTCCACAAGATTTTGAGTTCCAAATTTTCACCCCATCTTGCCCCTCCTCCCACCCCAAGATGGCATGCATTCTGAATACCCCTTCCCCTAGTCTGCTATCCCTGCTATCTCTCCCCACCTTTCCCTTCTGTTTTCCTGTAGGGCAGGATAGATTTCTGTACCCCATACACAGTTTGTTAAATGTTAATATACTTTAGGGAGAAATTTTGTGGCAAGTAAAATAGGCTTCCTAAAACAAACATATTAAAATAATTTCACCAAAATGACAGGTTTAGAATTACATTTTAAGTGGTTTGAAAGTAACTTAAAATTATATGCGGCAGGAATATTCTTCCAAGTTATATACTTGTATACTTTTTAAAAATTATAAACTAGAAAACTATTAACAACCATGAACATTTCCACCTACAAAGGCCAAAAAATTATTAAATATGGAACTTTGAACCTTACACATAGTTTAAAAAAATCTATATTAAATTTATTTGGGTAGTACCAGTTACTGTCAAGCCTGACTCAGTTCCTTTTTGAACTTTATTCTCTGTTAAATATTTGTGCATATTTTATTAATGCTCTTTTTAAAAATGGCTCATCGCTCCCTTATCCCTAGCCCCCTCCTCTTTTTAACAAATGTAACGAAACAAAACAATTTGTGTTGTATTGGTGATGTCATTAGAATGAAAGTAATGATTCTTTTATTCTGTGTACTTATATCTCCAGCACCTAGCACAGTACCTGCCACATATTAGGGGCTGAATATCAATCAAATATTTATTAAGTACCTACTATATGCTAAGCATTGTGCTAGATGCTGGGGATGCAAGTGCAAAAAATGAAATGATCATTACTTGAACTTAACATTCTAATATCTGAGGCAACAAGAACATATACATATAGCTTAAATATGAAGTTAATAAATACAGATGTATGTAAAGGATGTAGATAGATATCAGTTAAATACAAAGTAGTTTGAGAGGGAGGGTACTAGCAATTGGGGAGGGGGGAACCAAAAAACGCTTCGTGCAGAAGATGGTGCTTGAGGGGCCTCTTAAAGGAAGAGAGGGACTCCATGAGACAGTGGTGAGGAGAAAATGCAGTTTAGGTGTGAGAGACAGTGGGTCCAAAGGCACAGACATGGGAGATATGTTGGGTAAGAGCAATGGAGAGGCCAGTTTTACTGTTTTACAGAGTGTGAGAGAAATAATATCCAATAAGTCTGTAAAGGTAGTTTGGGGTCAGTTTATGGAAGGCTTTAAAAACAAAACAGAGACATTTATATTTTATTCTGAAGGCAGTAGGGAGCCATTGGAGTTGGTTTCTGCAGGAATGGGGAACCTGCCGCCTCAAGGCCACATGTAGCCTTCTAGGTCCTCAAATGTGGCCCTTTAACTGAATCCAAACTTCACAGAACAAATCCCTTTAATAGAAGGGATTTGTTCAGTAAAACTTGGATTCAGTCAAAAGGCCGGACCTGAGGACTTAGGAGGCTATATGTGGCCTTGAGGCATCAGGTTCCCTACCCCTGGTAGAGGAAGGCAGAAGATGGTCATCTGGTATTTGGGATCAGGGAGCTAGAGGAACTTCTCAGGTTGGTGAGTCACTGTGAGCTCACCCCCTAGGGCAGTAGGGCAGGGATGTTCAGGAGCAGCTTTTGTGGATTTGCTTGATTTTTCCTCTATTTTCCCAAGAGTTTCTCCCCCACTTCTCTGTTTTTTTCCTTGTCTTTTTGGTGGAATAATAAGGGAACTGGGCCTCAATTTCACTTATTTAAGTATCTGTAAGGACAAAGCTCATTTGGTTTTTCTGTACTCTGCTATCTTCCAGGAAGTCCTTATGTTATCATATTTTTAATGAAAGATTTAAAACATCTTTTGGAAACTAAGGATGTTTCCAAGGAAGGATAATGGATTGGGCATATTGTTTCTATTAAAGATCTTCAATATTCCTTTAAGGACCTCTAAAAGTGGAATTCATGAAATAAGTATAAGTTATTACTTCTCTCCGTCATGCTCTGCATTCCCCATTTCTCCGAGTATGAATTTTCTTTGAAGTGATACTGAGATTTTCTGCTCTCTGATTGTATAATTTACTTTGCTCATCAAAATTTGCCATAATGTTATGTCACTATAAGCAGTAGCATGATGTATTAGAAAGTACATTTGACTTTGAGTCAAGAAAGAGACCAGGGTTGAATGTCAGCTCTGATATTATGTGGGTGAAGGGAGACTCCTGGCCTTGCCCCAAGCAGCCTTTCCTCAGGGTTCATGGTTGGCCCAGCAGGTGGCTAAATGGAGAGAGGTGGTCCTGAAGTCCGGAAGACCTGACTTCAAGTTCAACCTCAGACACTTACTAGCTGTGTTACCCTGGGCAAGTCACTTAACCTCTCTTTGCCTCAGTTTTCTCATCTGTAAAATGGGAACAATAATGACACCTACCTTCCAGGGTTGTTGTGAGGCTCAAATGAATTAATAATTGTAAAGTGCCTGAAAGGTAGTAAGGGCTATATAAATGTTTGCTATTATCATTGTTGGAAAGTACACAAATTCAGAGCTTCAGTAAAAATAAAATAATAATAATAATAATAATAATTGTACTACCTCACAGAGTTAGGAGGAACGTGCTTTTGTAAGCCTTAAAGTACTCTCTAAATGAGATTTATCATCATTATGCCTTGGTAGCATTGTCTTTTCCATACTGATTTGCTTTGAAGGTTGGCTTGCTCCATTCTAGCAGCTATCCCAGAACATAGGATAGATTTGTTCTAAGAAATTAAGCAGCACAATCTTCTATTTTGTTAATTACTGTCCATTTGGAGCAAGCGTGTTTATCTATGTAGCATGAGGGTGAGGGCTAGTAGGAACCTTGAAATGAAACACATACTTTAAAAGCTTAAAAAAGCTGTAATGAAGCTATACTGCAGGAAGAGTTGGTTTTAGAAAAAAAGATTCTTTACATCAGTGGCGTCAAACTCAAACAGAAATGGATCCGTATGGGCAGCATATTGACTTAGAAAACCACAAATTAATATTATCTATGTTGTTTTTTTTGTTATTTTGTTAAACATTTAAACAGTAAGTGCCAGGCCTAGGTTCAGGGAGATGAATTAAAATCCATACTTAGACAAACTCATTAGCTATGTGACCTTGGGTAGGTCACTTAGCCTCAGTTTCCTCATCTGTAAAGTGGGGATAATAATAGCACCTACCTGTCAGGGTTATTGTGTGGATCAAATTAGGTAATAATTGTAAAGTGCTTAAGCA